TTCTGCTCCTCTTGGACATGCAAGCAGTTGTTTTGCTGCAGTGCAGCATATTTGTTTCTGGCCAATTCCATGAGATATTTCCATGAATTGCTGTATAGCAGGGTTTTAAATCAGGGCTCTTCAAAATACCCAGAATTCTTGCTTGCCACCTCTCAGACACAAACAGAAGGATGAGTCATTGCATGAGCACAAACCATCCCTGGAAATTGGGCCTCCTGAATGTCATCTGATAAGCACAGCTCTTTCCGTTGTACCTTAGAAAAATGACTATGGACACTTCTGGCTGCATTCAAGTGAACTTTTTCGTTTTGTTTTGTTTTGCCCTTTGCTGCTTCTGGAACCCTAGGATTCCATGGAACAAAACTTGGAAAATCCTGGTTGAAACAACAGACAGCTCCTGAATTCATGAAGTCTGGGAGAGTATTCCACTGGCTCGGCACACCATGCTGCCTCCAGCATAGAAGCTGTTGTACAATCTAGGGCCTTCTATAGAAAATAATAGAGAAACCTTTTACGCTGCATGAAAATAAAGCACTAAGGCATTGCTCCAGATGTAGTAACTATAGGACAGTTTCTCAACCTCAGCACCTTTAAGATGCGTGAACCCCAACTCCCAGCATATGGCTGGGGGAATTCTGGGAGCTGAAGTCCACACAACTTCAAGTTGCTGAGGTTGAGAAAAACTGCTCTAGGTACTACTGAAAGTCTCCTCCATTAGCAGTTAGGCTGTCTAATTTGTGGTATTTGTTGCAGAATTCTAATCAAGATCATCAGGCAATTGGCAAAAATATCTCTTCTGCCAAGCCTTGCTGATTCTTTCCCCCATAATTACTATATACTGTGTTAAATAAATTATGATTAACTTATTAGTTTTACTTTTCTGATGCTTTGGAATATTTGACTGTTAAATGTACAATAGTGGCTTGAAAATTGCAGCCTGCCTCTTCAGCAAAAAAAATACCCTTTTTATTAAATACATAGGCAAACACTTTTGCACGGAGGCCATTAGCAGTTAAGCTGGGAAAGGAGATACACTTTACTGAACAGAGGACTGCATGTTTTTTTAAGCCAGCGAACCATGATCTGGTCTGGAGAACATAAAAGAGAAACCTCTGCTGATTTTGAATATGAAGGAAAGCAGCTTATGTCTTGTCTTTTGTTAAGGGAATAGAGAGAGAGAGCAAGCTGCAAAAAGAAGAAGAAGTAGAAAATTTAAAAAAAGCAAAACTATTTATAGCAAAAGTACATTTCAGTTAAAGTCCATTAAATGAACAAAGGTAGAACTATTATCCTCTGAACATTGTAAAAAGTTAAAGGCAGAAATATGCCATAGTAAGCTAAAAACAAGGGCAAATGATAAGCCAACAGATGATTATGAGTTAGATATTTACCATTTTACCACAAAGAAAAATAATATCTACAACTGAAATGATGTAGAGATTTAAATAGCTTTCTAAAAATTATCCATATAATCTTATCAGATTGCTCAAGGTACACGTTTTAGGCAGAAATATCAACCATAAGGTCAGTTAAACAATTATTTTAAAAAAACTATTTTATTTAGAACAAAGGGACGTTCCATGGTATTTGATGTTTGATTTAGCTTGAACTTTCTAAGCCTGTCATGTGGGGAAAGGGGATGTATAGTACTGTGCAAAAGTTTTAGGCAGGTGTGAAAAAATGCTGTAAAGTAAGAATGCTTTCAAAAATATATATTGTAATTGTTTATGTTCATCAATTAAGAATGCTTTCAAAAATATATATTGTAATTGTTTATGTTCATCAATTAAGAATGCTTTCAAAAATATATATTGTAATTGTTTATGTTCATCAATTTACAAAATGCAAAGTGAGCAAACAAGAAAAACCCAAATCAAATCAGTATTTGGTGTGACCACCCTTTGCCTTCAAAAGAGCATCAATTCTTCTAGGTACACTTGCACACAGTTTTTGAAGGAACTCGGCAGGTAGGGTGTTCCAAACATCTTGGAGAACTAACCACAGATCTCCAGTGGACATAGGCTGCCTCAGATCCTTCTGTCTCTTCATGTAATCCCAGACAGACTCAATGACATTGAGATCAGGGCTCTGTGGGGGCCAAACCATCACTTCCAGGACTCCTTGTTCTTCTTTATGCTGCAGATCATTCTTAATGACATTGGCTGTATGTTTGGGGTCATTGTCTTGCTGCAGAATAAATGTGGGGCCAATCACATGCCTCCCTGATGGTATGGCATGATGGATAAGGATCTGCCTGTATTTCTCAGCATTGAAGACACCATTGATCCTGAGCAAACCTCCAACTCCATTTGCAGAAATGCAGTCTGAAATTTGCAAGGAACCTCCACCATGCTTCACTGTTGCCTGCAGACACACATCATTGTACCACTCTCCAGCCCTTCAATGAACAAACTGCCTCCTGCTACAGCCAAATCTTTCAAATTTGGACTCATCAGTCCAGCGCACCTGCTGCCATTTTTCTGCACCCCAGCTCCTATGTTTTCATGCATAGTTGAGTTGCTTAGCCTTGTTTCCACATCGGAGGTATGGCTTTTTGGCCACAATTCTTCCATGAAGGCCACTTCTGGCCAGACTTCTCTGGACAGTAGATGGGTATACTTGGGTCCCACTGGTTTCTGCCAGTTCTGTGCTGGTGGCACTCCTGGACATCTTCTGATGTTGAAGGGAAGTAAGCATGATGTGTCTTCCATCTGCTGCATTAA